AGTCAGTCTACCTGCTCTCAAGCCCTGACAAAGCCCGATAAGGACTACCACGCCTGTGGAAATCAGCAATTTGCTCTGGGGTCATGTCATTGCTGTGATGCAAAAAAGTCCAGAGCACTCCAAAGTACAAGACAGAGAGCCTTCCACTGCCCTTTGTCACCTCCAGGTCAGCAACCGCCAACGCATCACCTGGCTTGCGCGGGGCCCTCAATTTGCACTCCATTGGCTCCCTCCAAGTATCATAGCCACCGAAGAATATGTCGCTAGCGGTATTTAGCCAAGATTGGAGAAGTGGAAGACCATCCGAGGGCTGCTTGTACCACATCACAAAAAGAGGGACCTCCATCGCCTGCTTTGGGTCCTGAGGTAAGGACAATAGGAGTTGGGGACAGGTGAAAATTGAAACGGCTTGCAATTGACCAGGGAGTATAGTATTGCTAGCCCAAGGGGCCCCAATAGTGTACTTCTCTGGTTTGGGAAATTCTTCACCTAGTAGTGTTTCCAACCAGCAGACAACTGCAGGAATCAGGCTATTGTTCAGGTTGTCCAGCACGAATTTGACAGGATGTTCATCCCTCTCCGCATCGAATGACCTTGAGATGAACACCAATTCAAAACAGGTTCATTTGGATGCCACAGTACAGTACGAATTGTGTTTTAATTCAAGGAGCTGAAGGCCCTGCATCACGAGTTCAACCCATGGAGATGCTTTCTTGAGAGCTTTTCCACGGGCAGGGCCATCCGACCCAGGCATCCTACGCTTGGACATGGTGGTCCTCCACTCCACTGGCGGAGGCCAGGCTTGGGCCTTTTGTCGAACAAGGCAGCTTGCTTGGTGCAGTTTGACAGTAAAATGTAAAGCACAATTTGTCACATACACTGCAAGCTGCACAGTCACAGTTTGTTTCTTGGCTGCTATCCGAACAGAAGCATTATCCAAATTGATTGGGCAGCGAAAGGAGCCAAGTGAATTAAGCACCATTCTTGGCATGTCTAATTTTGTCATGGCTTCTGAACTGGCTGGAATGCAAGAGCAGCTGCCAACATCACACTACCAATTGTTGGTATGTTGATGGCATTTCCGGCCATGTGGACTTTGGAAGTATATGGAACTTTATCCAGCTCAAGAGTTGGAGCCCTGCATGCCTTTCCCTGGTCCTTTGAGATAGGCAACGCGTGGCTGGCCAGCATCTCATCTGGGTGCAAGAAACGGTGATGTGCCTGGCAGGCCGTGGGTCACAGAAGAGTTGGGGTTCTTGGGTTGGTTGTGCCAAGGGAATGGACTGCTTACGAACATCAAATTTAAATCTACGATCGCAGGCCTGGGAGAACAGTCTTCCACTGGTCGTGGTCAGGGTTGGCAAAGCGTTGTCAACTGTCTCTCCTCGTCCCCGGCCGTTTTTAGCATACTGGTTGAGGTCGGGAAACTGCAGCTTCCGGCTCTCTGAATTGTAGTCTGCCAGGTTCCGCTCCTTACCCAACCAAAGAGGGCCTTTCCGCACAACCCTACAGTGACAAACAAAAAAGGCCTCAAACTGTAGGAACTCGCTCAGTCAGAAATGAAACCAATCGTACCCAATGGTTAATGGTATTGTGGATGTTGTCAACTTTAGCAGCTGCTAAGCGTCATTCGCGTCCGAAAGCTTCACCCTGGGGAGGTCCATGTAGTAGTAATCTTTTGCTGTCATCACCACCCGCCCTCGAAGACACTCTACCAATTCATTCAAACCAAAGGGCGCATCCCACACCAGCTTGTCAGTTCTATAAGCAACCATAAAGACCCTTGCTCTTGCACATCCCATGCCTAGGACCCGTGGGTCCAAGCGACATGAAAGAATGCACCACGGCTTGCCCAACTCCTGTTGCACCAACTGTTCCTGGTATTCTGTCACATTTTCTATGAAAACCAGGGACCAGTTGCTTTTTCTCACTGCATCGTAGAAGGCTTTGTGTGTTGCGTAGCTTGGCCCATGTTGCTTCTTTCTCTGGCCCATTAGGCTGAAGTCAACGCAAACCGGACCTAGGCTTTTTGTAAATTGGACTGGCATCATATTAGACTACCTGTCAGGGCTGCTGTAAATAAGTCTTCATTTTGCTAAACAGTTTGCTAAACATGCCCAAGGCCGGTGCCAGATGCGTTCACTTGAAGTCCTGACTGAACCAGGCGTGGGGGTATTGTCAGTCGAGCACGTCTTGACATTCAACTGACTGACATAAAGTTAAGAACTACGCTAAGAGTCGAGTGGGATCATCCAACTTGTGCTGGATAGGACACATCTTTTGGTGTGTGATGCAAAAGGAGGAGTTCTTGGTCATGTTCAGCTTCGTGATATCACAGAAGACACAGTGCCCATATGTGGACCGCAGCACACGCTGGCATGCACCATCAATTTCACATGCAAAGCTAAGCTGGACATGATTTGTGCCACGAACATTCGATGTCAAGTGCTTCTTCAAAAAGGCTTTGGCTGCAGCAGCCAAGCTAATGGCGGCCTAAACATGTTCAAGTTGAATCTGATACAATCTAGCCAGTAATCAAGCCAGTCGTAATCTAGCCTCATGACACGCTTCAGTAAGTAACCAAGGACCGGACACTCTCAGCACATCCAACTCCGCTGAAAGCAGTTGAGAGCTCCCACTTCCAACGGCGTAACCGCTGTGCCACCCACTTGACTCCAAAACAAGAAGCAGCCTTCTCTAAGAACATGTTTGGCCAGCGGTACACATCCTTTACAGAACGAAAGTTCACTGGATAGTCATCTGGGGCAGCTGGCACAGATGTCTTTGGATAGAAACGCCTGAGCCAACATGTGTTTGCCACTTGCATGATAGCAAAACAGGACAGACAAAGAAAGGCGATAAAAAAACAGAGCGACATAAACACAAGAAGGGATAAATGAAACAAACCAGCTAAGGCATCAGCAATTTGGTTTTTTTCTCAATGGTCTTCTTGACCGCTTTGCTAGCTTTGGTCCTTGAATCATGCCTACTGTAGAAAGGACTCCATTCCTGTCAAACATTTGCTCGTGCAATTCTGTGGCACAGGCCCTGGCCTATTTGGTGTCAATGAGGTTGGCTTCCCAGGCAAGCTCTTGGAAGCAATCAGGGCAACTGCTTCCCGAAGGGTCAGCTGTTTATGAACCATGGCATGCAACCCTAAAGACAAACAAAGCTCAGCAATACCTTCAGTGACATATAGGAATCAAGGCGCAAACCGCAATTCTCAAAGTTGCACTGACTGCAGTTTGGGACTGAAGTGTTTTTGTCCTGTCCAAGAAGTAAAACGTTGAAAGACCTTTTTGCTCAGCTGGTGAGTTGCAGCATTGCAATTGGCAACTCCAATTAACCCAGTTTCAACAAAAAACTGGATTGGATGCAGATTCAAATTATTGCAATTCCTCACCTGGCTCCAAGTCATCAGGCTCAGACCTTCTTCGCTTTGAGGCCTGGCAAATGGATTTCCGGACGGGGATGAAGTGAAATATTTCAGGGACAGCACAAACCCACCTCTGCATCCTGTTGATCCTCATGCATCCGCTTGACTGCCTTCCATGTTGAAGGCATACTCTGACTCAGTGAGCAAACGGAATCTAAAGAATGTGGGCCTTCCGGAAAAGTAGACGTTCTACTGTCACCTGACCACCACAAGCAGCACAGAATGACAGCCGATTCTTACTCAGTCTTCGGGGTTCCTTTCTTTTTCAGGACAGCTGACCTGGGAATCTTCCAATTCATCTGATTCGTAGAGCTCGTTCTTGAGGTAGTCATCCCAATCCTGGGCCATTGTTGGTTGTTTGGCAATGATTGAACTCTTGGTTCTGGCCTCCACTGGAGATTGATGAGGGGCGGCAGACATGAAAGCAAGACTGCCTGGTCATATGCGAGCAGGAAAGTATGAACCAGTGAAGAATTACCCAGCCTTGATCTTGGGAACAGTCCACTATACAACTTGGACCTGTGTAGCCTATCACTAGATAGACCCCTATACTCTATACAGTCTTGCAAAACAAAATGGCTTCGAGGTGCAAAGAACCAGAGTCAGATGTGAGTTCAGGTGTGATGAGAGTGCTTCATATCGTTCTACTATGTTCTACTACTTTGCAAATTAAATGTTCTTTTTCTTCCCTCCAAGCTTTGCACTGAACTTTATTACAGGGCACAAGCGCACCACTGCTTGCGGAAGGCCGATGCGAACACCTTCTGCACTAACGGCTTCTTGCGTCCAAGGCAAGGGCGGAACGGGCTGTGGGGAGAGCTTGGTGCACAGCTCGATTAAAAACTTTACCGATCTTCTATCAGATTCTGTGGGAACCCTTTTCAAGATGTGTTTGGCAATGGTCATGTAGGCTTCCCTTTTGTCAGGTTTGACTGGGACCAAAGGCCTCGGCTCCTGTGGTATAGGGCCCATCATCTGCAAGAATCGATGTGGGAACGCGAGCAAAGGCTCCTGCACAAGCATGGTGAATGTGGTGAATGTAAAACCACCATTTGCAGAAGGTCTTTTTAACGTTTTGGTTGATAGGTTTTACATTGTTTTTACAATGTTACAGTCAGTCATAGTATGACTCCCCAGGTATACCATTCTCATCCATTCCCTAGTTTCTTCAAGGCCGTTTCCTATGCTCTAAACAACAGGTATTGACCACCGAAAGTCACCAACCCATACTCTGTCACATTTTCTTCCATTTCTCCTGCCCCAACTTGTCATCACTCGCGTGCCTTTTCACCATGAGAATGACATCCTCTGGATGCGCCTCAAAGGAAGCACCTCTACCCGTCGCCTCCACCGTGATGTTCCGGGGCAAATCTGCAAGGACACGCACCCCACACTTTTGGTTGACTGAAAGGTTTCAATCCACCAAACAGTTTTCCCTGTACATGCCTCGTCTTTTGATCATAATGAAAGCGTGCCAAGCACTCTCATCGTTTCTCATGCCCCCGCTAAAGGTCACTGGAGCATTGGAAGTCCTGAGTTGACAGCCGACATGGTGCCACTGTAGAATCTTGCTGCCAAGGCCAAGACAAAGTGAGGTATGTCAAACCAACCTTAAAGTTCCACTGTGACATTAAATCAGACAAAGGGCCAAGTTTTCCAGTCTCTCACCCCGGATATAAACTGGACATTGATTTTTGCGTGTTCTCCAATCCACTGTCGAAGCCCTATTTTGTTCAGCAATGTGTCAATCTTCCTGGGAGCAGCAAGATTCTAAGCGTGCATTGTCCATATTGTGCTGCTTATTGTTATGTTCAAGGACATTGAGGCAAGCACTGCGCTACATCTTCAGCATCGGCGAGGATGTCGCAATACCGTACAGCAGTTGCTAATAGTCCGAAGATTTGATCTTAGTGTCCGAGAGAAGCAACGTGTCCAAGACTATTTGAAGGCTCAAATTGCGTTTTCGATAGTTACAGGTTTGAAGCTTGACCTGGATCCGAGATTCCAAGGGGCCCGTGAGTGTGACCCACGGAGCTGAAGAGTAAAGCAGCAAGGCTCAGTTTGGATGAGCCCACCAACCAACATAGCAGCTTCAGCACAACATTGTTTTTGTTCTCCCTCGGGCAGTTATCTGCCTTGGATTGTGAACTCATCAGTTTGTTGAATTGGTTCCACAAGTTCAATCACCCCTGATAGTATACATCTAGTAACCCTGTGCAAGTTCAATCACCCCTAGTATACATCTGAATCTAGCAACCTGCACAAGTTCAATCACGCCTAGTATATCTAGTAACCCTGCACAAGTTCAATCACCCCATGTCTAGTAACCCTGCATGTTCAGCGTTGTAAGATACAGTGCTTTCTTACTGTTGAGATAAGCTTCCCAGATGATTGCTTGATCAGGTCTTGGTTTCCCTTGATCATCACACTTTTTCATTGCACCTTCGATAGATCTCAGTCCACATTCCAATACCGTGCTGGCATCGGATTTCGTTCTGCAGTCAATGACGTACATGTCCAGACATACATTCTGAATCCAGACGCCCTGGATTTTGAAGCGGGGCTTAGGCAACATGAGTATTGCCTTCCCGGATCTTGTCTCTCGGCTTCTTGGTATGCTCCACTTTGCCTGGTCCATTCCGTCCTGGATGGAATGTTTCACACATTACATAGTAGAATAGATTTTCACCAGCAGCTGAAAATCAAAAGGCTGGGCTGGGTGAGAGACCCGGGTTGAGGAAACCAACAATTTTAGGAAACCAACAGGCCCCCAAGAGATTTTACAAACACCCTCATCAGATCAAGACACCCAGAATATGCACATCGGATTTCCAGGCATTTGGATTGGTGACTGTGCCTGAGTGAAGGATCACAGCAGTGTAGCATTTAGTTGCAGCTTGCGCACTTGACAAAATTCTTCAAGGGATCTATCGCGTCCCACCTGGTCTATGTGAATTTTGTAGTCCTTCGCTATTTCATATTTTTGCTGCAAATCCTGAGCCAAAGAATTAGTCAACTCAGAATCCCAAGGTTTACACAGTGTCAATAACCAACGTATTCACTCTCTGGCTAAGTCTCTCTGGTTGCCCGGAACTCATCTTTGCATTTTAAGCAGGTTTCGCAGCATCCGTGCGTTGAGGGAGGTAAAAACCTCAGCACCTTGTCCCATCCTCTTCTATAGCATCTCCAAAACGTCATGTACCTGAGTTATAATAATGTACGACATACTATTGGACAACCTTGGACAATGTCAGGTCGTACAAACACTTGATTCAGGGAAGACACGACACCTTTTCCCCTTCAGGCAAGGCAGCAGCCATCTGATGGAATAGCATTCGGATGTTGCCTGGTGGTAAGAATCTTGTAGGTAGATTGTCGATCTTGTTCCAGAAATTACATTCGATGTACCTGAATCCAAGCTGTCCAACTTGCAGCTTCTCATCGTGCCTGTGTTCTGAGATGTTCAACAGAATTAGCAACACTTGGGTTCTCACTGCCCAAAGAAGGAGTTGCACCCCAAGATATGCAAACGCAGCTCCTGATCTGACTCCAAAGTCTCCTCAGGAATTGGCAGCTCATCATCCCGAGATCCAGTTGACTCTGTCTCACTTCCACTACCTCACAATCCAACAGTTCTTCTTCAATGATTGATTCAATCGGGAAACTGTCAATGATTCTTATTCAATGATTTAAAAATGTAACAGCAGGCCAAAGGAAAATAACTCAATTGGGAAACAGTAGTTTTGTGGGCAAGGCACTGTCCTTCTCATCCTTCCTCTTCTCGTAAAAGAGAACAACAGTCAGTCTCTTTCCATGCTTTGCTTGTGGCCGGCCAGCACGCTGGAACCTTAATTGATTGAGTGAGTAAGCCAAACGCTGATTGCAAAAAAACAAACCAGTATTTTTCTGCTTAAAGACTTCGCTGGCATCATTCCAGCAGCTTGAGCATACTGCGCCATTAGAAACTGATTGATCCGCCTGGTTTTGATAGGCGCCCTTCTCCTCTCCTGGGCTACTAAGAGTAAGCCGCAGGGCTTCAACGACTTTATGGTTGATCGAAACACATTGTCTCCCACACTAGGTGATCTATCACATCCACTCGCATCAGATTGATTGATTGAAACAGTGTGAGTTCAGCTTAATGCAAACAAAGCTACAGCACCCCAAATCCTAAAGCGACGGTCAGCTCTGCCTTGTTGAACTCTTTGAAGCCTGGAATTTCCCATTCCCAGGAGTGCAACGATGCACTTCGGGGAAAGCTGGTATCCCAATAGGGACCACCGCTTCCGCTCATCTCCAGATTCGCCAATCACCTGCTCCACCTAAGATGCGGCATCCCCAATCATCAACATGCCTGCCATCCCCTGTCCATTCAGTCTTCCTGCGATTCTGTTGAAGGAACGGTGAACTTGTCATGCCCCTTCTACTCCTGAGGTTTAGACGAATAGGTCTTGAACTTGCTTGGTAAGCCCCCAAAACACAGCCAGGAACTCCATCAACGTGTTCATGACGGCTCTCAGCCGTTGGAAACAAGTTCCCCGGCTGCATCTGCAAGTTCGACCAGTCAAGTCCTCCAACCTTGACCTGCTGGCACCAGTTGATCCATGCCTTAGGTCGAGACCCCCTCCTGATTGATGACAGATTCCTGCCACCTGTGGTCAATCAAAGCCCAAACAAACAAAATCGTTGAGCTGTTGTAAAACTAGTTGCTTCACTCGATCATATTGCTTTGCTGCAAGACGGCGGTTTCGATTGTTGTAGTTTGGCCTGGCCCTAAGCATCGTATCCCTCCTATTTGGAGTCTTGTTCACAAGATCCAGCTTGGAGCAGCCTCTTTGGAAGGATAGTAAACCCTCTAAAGTGAAAGCCACACAAGCAGGTTCTTTGTTCTTCTCGGCTGGTTTCTGCTCAATCTCTTGTTTCCTCTCCCTGCCCACTAGCTTCAAAAAATTCTTGCAACGGTCATCATGATGATCAGCCTTGTCCAAGCCAGTGGTGTCTGGATCTCTCCCAGAACAGATTCTCAAAAACCTTGCACACATGCAAAATGGTTGACTTCACATGCTAGCCTCTGTCAAACAACTTGCTGCAACTGAAAAGCTTTCTTCGTGCATCAGACATACTCCCATGGCAGCCCCCACGGCTTTCTTTGAAGCTTGTGGCTGCAAATTGGCACCCTAT